TCCCTGAACAGCCACCAGCTGGCGGCAGGCACTGGCCTGCGCAGCGCAGCCAGGACGGCATGAGGCAGAGGTTTCCGTACGACTCTTCTCTACGCAGAGCAGTCTGTGGGCTCAAGGCGCATCTGGGTTACGAGTCGTGGCTGAGCCCCTTCTTTTTCCAACACTGAGCTCGACCCATGCTTCTCTACGTGCTCCGTCATTCTGAGGTTATCAAGTGCTGGAGAATTGGTTACTCTTCGTTTTCCCAGGGTCCTGTCTTTCCTATTGAAGGAGTATCCTGCTCTTCCCTGTTACCTTAAAGCACACATCCGACAAGGCAGGCTGCAGTGAAATTCCGCTAAAACCCTTTGTTCATAAGAGCACAACTAGACAACAGAGCTGTGAACGCCTCCCACACGTCGGTTAAGGTGAAGGACAAGCGGCACTCCGTCTGCTTATGGTACGCCTTCTGCAGGAAGGTGCCTTACCCCTTCCCCACCTGACAGCGGCAGGTCTTTCCGTCTGTGGCCGTGCAGTATTCCTCACGCAGCATTCCCCAGAGCGCACCAGCACAGGTCACCTCCGGGAGAATTCCCGAGCGCACTGCAGGAGAGCCCTCTTCCATCCTCAGCAGTTGGTGTTTTCCTGTGTAGTCTTCTGGAGCTCGAGACAGATCTAGTCTTCTGAAAATGGTGCTGTAATGTGTTTAAGCCCGAGGTGGTTGTGATTAATGAGAGCTGAGGTTTCGCTTCCTTCCGCGTGCCGGCGCGTGGTGGGTAGGCTGGAGGTCAGCTACTGTTCCTAGCCAGTCTGAACAGAGCTTTTGAGGGGGCTTCCAGCAGCTCTCTCCCTCCCCATGGCTGTTAACGTGTTACAGAGAAGGATTTGTTTTTCTGGCAGACCTCACCTGGTGTGTGGGTGAGGCAAGTACCAGGCCAGCACGTGCAACACAGGTTGAATGAGATGGCTCGTGCAGCTTGCTGCTGGCTCTGCCTGCGTCAGGGGTGACCGTGAAGCACAGCCAGCTGGGCGGAACCGAGCCGCAGCTTTTTGCTGCTGCGCACGTTGTGACTGTTCCACTGGACATTACGTTTGTCCGCTGGGCTGAGGAGGGGATTTTGGTCGATGCTTTTGAGGCTTACGCTTGCCCGTCTCTCTGCTGATGCGCGAGCATCCCCGATACTCACAAGTCTGCCTCTCGGTGCCTTCTCACGGGCTGACTTCCCTGCTTCCATACGCCACGTCTGATGCCGGTGCAGAGGTACCGGGTGCAGACTGCAGCGGGACTGTGCTGCAGATGAGGCTCCTTGTATGTAAGACTGGATGGTGCCTGCTCCCGGCTTCCTTGCAGGGTTCTGCCGCATGGACGAAGGATCAGCTGTCAGGCTGCAGCTTTCACATGGGTGCCTTTATGTACGCACAGGACCAGGCGCGCGCCCGCGCATCCTTTGCCTTATTTTGCCTGCCGCAGTGAGCTTGTAAATGGCTTTGGCATTTCCGTCAGGGTGTAAACCCGTTGCAGTTAACAGGGTCAGTTTCTTAGGTCTTAAGTACTTTTTAAACAGGCAGACGTACACAGCCCTCAAATATTTGTAAAATCTTTCAACAGGTTAAAAATGCTGAATCAAAAATAACTAATTTAATCTACCTGAAGCATACTCTGGAACTCGTGGAGCCGCTAAAAGTAAGCCGTTGGGGTTTTTATATGACGTACAGGCTGTTTTGTCTTTATTTTATACTGTGCAGTTTGTTAAATGTCACAGAATGTCTCAGGTTGGAAGGGACTGACAAGGATCATTGAGTCCAAAACCAGAGCTGCATCTTGCAGAACCCAGTACTGCCAGTATAGCCTGTCGATTCCTGAGCCAGACGAAAATGTGTGTGTGAGTCTGGTACTGGTCACAAACGAGCTCCTGCCGGTTCTGGGAAATGGGTTTTATAGCGGGCATTTAACAAACTCCTCCTCAGACTCTATAAGCTGCTTAGCACCAGGTAGTGGGCCTCAGTGAGTCTGAGAGCTTTCAGCCCCTCAGAAGGGCTACAGAAGTAACTGTGTTGGTGTTTTAATCTTCACCAGGCTGCGTTGAGGCCCTGTAACACGCCACTGCTGAGGGCTTACCGCGATTCTCTCCAAGATACGAGGTATTTCTGAAAATACTTTAGTACGTTAGAAACTCCCACCTCCCTTAATGTTTGTAAGGTGAAGATCTCTGCTGATTTGTGGGTACACATGCAGCTCAATTCCTTTGCCTAAAAGATGATTTTTAATTGTCAAAAACTCTAATTTTCCACTGACATGTAGGGGAGAAAAGCAAACCAGGGACGGGGCCGATGCTGCAGTTGCCGAGGAAGCGCACTCCCTCAGAAGGGAGCGGTTTCCTACACTTGGCGTATTCCTTTGCATACTAATGCAGATTACGCACAGTTTGCATAACGATGCAAAAATCAGCTATTGCCTGTATAGTCGAGAACTGATTTCTCTGCGGGACGGCTTCTGCCAGCTGCGGGTGTAGGCGTTCCTCATTCTGAGGCAGAACCGGACACAGAATGGAGCGTGTGCTTTGATTTGCTTCAGTTGTTTGTAATACTCTCCTGTGTAACTTTGGGACAGTACTGCAGACACAAATGTAAAGTGTCATGTAACTAATTAGCGATACAACTAATACTGCAGGTTTGCAGTGATCCTTGAAAAGATTACGACTGTCATTAATGACGATACACGGTACACAAAGGGATGTCTGAGCATGAGGACCCAGAAGTGCTATGCCATCAAGCCTAACATCAATGAATTCCTGGACATAGCTCGTCGCACGTACACAGAGATCGTGGATGACATTGCAGGTATTTCTGAAATAAGGCTTTTGTTGACCTGGAGTTCACAGTGCACCGGGCCTGGCATGCAGGGGTCGTGAATCACGTGCTATAACCTCTTGTGTAAGAAGGCCTTAGTATAAACGGATTGTCGTTGATAAGTAACAAGCACTGGTGAGAGACAAATCGAGATTCTCCTTTTGTAGATAAAAGCTCAGATTAATGAGGTTGAATAATTGATTTGTGGTTCCTGTACTGAAAACTCTGTTGCTCCTTACCGTCTATGAGTGCAGAAAAGTTAGAGCGGTGTAACAGAATTGTCCCAGGTAAAACACTCTGCCTAAGCCGTGTCAGTCTTTGGGTTAGTTTCCTCAGTGAAGGCACCAGAGTTCTTTGTTCTGTGTCTTGTAAGCAGTCTCGAGCTCTGTGGACTGCTTTTCCAATTCCTAGCAGCTGGCTAACAACACGAGCAAAAGGGATGTTAGCATGATGTTCGTTACTGTGCTTTGGTAACCGTTGCGTTTATCATTACGTCAGCATAGAAGATAATTTGTTATCTTCTGGGCTGGATTTCCATTTTGTAACATAAAATGTTGATTTCTGGCTGAAGGACCATCTCTTGCTTTACTGTCTAATTGGAAACAGAGGAGCATCAGAACCTTCACTATCAGTTGTACACTGCGAGCTTCCTGCATCCTTCTGGTCTTACGTTCTGCATATGCCACTGAAAGTACAGATGCCACTGGGCTTTATTTCCTGAACCTTCCAAAATCCAGTAGCGGCTGGGGCTACAGAATGTGTGAAGGAATGTGTTCCCCTTCCCTGGGGTGGGTGTAGCCCAGAAGGCTGCAGCAGCCCAGTCCCTACGCGACAGCTAGTGCTCTGTGAACGGGTTGGGTGCTGATGCCAGGCGCTCGAGCATGCTGCCCGTGGCCAGGCCCACCTGGTGCTTGGTCACGGGCATGAACTGTTTCAGAGGAGCACGTGAATTGATCTGATTCTCCACTGGAATTTTTTCCTAATAGCTTTATGCAGCCCGATGTTTGACATTAGTGTGTTCCTTAAATGAGTCCCGGGAGACCCACCTCGAGGGGCTTTTGGCCTGTTACTGCCACACTCGGTGCCTGTGAGTCACATTACGTGTATGTGCACATGAACGGGGGTGATGTGCGTCCTGTCTTTATTTGTGGTGTGTAGGAATGATAACACAGCTCGCAGAAAAGTACAACCTACCAATGAAAACAAGTTTCAGCTCTGCTCGTGGATTTTTTATCCAGATGAATGTGGACTGTTCAGCATTACCCAATGGCCAACTTCCTTCGGAGTTTACAAAGGTATCTCTACTGCACACGTGTTTGTAGTACCTTTGTGCACCTCCTGCGCAGCAGATGCAGAACGCGTCCGTGGCGCACACACCACGCGGTCATTTAAGCAACAGTTAAGATTGTTTCAGTGAAGAGGTCTAGAAGTAGAGGGAGGTGTAATTGAATGGTTTTGTTAGTGCCCTATTTCCAGTTAGAATTAATGTAGCAGTAGTGTGCAATTCCATGCGGTTCCGCCAGGTGTGAATACAAAGTCGTGTATCTTCCTGGTGACTGCATTCTCTTCTGTGGGGTTTTCATGGGAAAATGAAACCAGGCATTCTTTTGACTTTTTTTTCCCACCATGTTGTTCCCAGTTGGCTTTTTAGAAGCTAGTTTTGTGTCTGGTAACACAGCAAGTTCTTATTGCTGGTTTGAATTCCCTGCAGATCACGAAGATGAAAAACACATACAGCTTCACCTCAGCAGATTTAATAAAAATGAATGAACGATGTCAGGAGTCCCTGCGAGAAATCTATCACATGACCTACTTGTAAGACAATTTATTTCATGTTTTCTACCTACATTTATTTTGCCCAGTGAATAGCTAATGTAATGTTCTCTTAAAGCTGCGGGTCTTCACGGTTATGGCTACTTCCAGCAGTGGTCCTGAGCGGCACTGACCGCACGTGCTTCCTGACCCCAGAGCCCCCCACTGCACAGCATCAGTGTGATCGCGACATGCGGGCGTTTCTTGATGAGGGCAGTTGCCATGGGCAGTACGTTTCTGCAGGGAATTCTCTTGGCACAAGGACATGACGAATCCGTGCGTTTCCTAAGGCAGAATCGGTTCTTTTCATCAGTTCCCTGCGTTCGCAGCAGCCTGGTCTGAGTGCTGGCCTTGCTGCACGCCGCCTTGCTCTGCTCGCTGTTTCGGGAGACTGCACGTGATGCGTGCCGGTGTTGTGGGAATTCTGTCTAGAAGCCAAGGGAGGCTTATTACACAAAGGCCTAGGGGAGATGGAGTTGCATATGATGTGTTACTAAAGCATCCTGGACTCCATGGCTGTGTTTTGGGTTCATTCTCTTCGTGGAGCTTTCCCGCGAGTGGTCAGGATTTGAGCTGCGTGCCCTGTGTCTGACAGCGGAATTCGGTCTGAGGTGAAGGTATAACGTTTTAATGTACTTGGAAGTAACATAGGCACTCGCATGCACTAGGCAGAGCTGGCTGCATTGTATGGATAACCTGCCATCCTGATGTACGCAGCATGAACGTGACGCTTCCTTTGTATGTTGTGTGAAGTGACAAACCATACTGTGCCGCTACTGAACTGGTGTCATTTCAGAATAGTGTGCAAACTGCTGAACGAGATCTATGACCACATTCATTGCCTCTACAAGCTGTCTGACGTTGTGTCAATGCTGGATATGCTGCTTGCCTTTGCCCACGCCTGCACTCTTTCTGATTACGGTAAGGACCTGTGACTCTGCCATGGGCCGGGGAAAAACCCTCCCGCTGGAGAACATCCAGGCTGGTCTGGCTGGCTCTCCAGTTGCTAAGCCCACGGCATTCATGTTTCTGGGTCTCGGTAGGCTCTGGTCTGTCTTGCCAGTTTTTTGCTGATGTTCTTTCCATTTCAATTCACTGAAATTGCATTCCACCATGAGGCTGCCGTAAGCCCTCACAGCCAGCCTTTTCAGGGGGGCCAGTGTAAGCATATTCTCTTCAAAAGCGCAAAGTTTGAGAGCAGAAGAGAGTTCCACTTCTCTCCTGAAAGGGCACAAGATAATATAAGCAGGTCAACATCAAGTATATTCTGCAAAACAAAGTATGTGGCTGCCTTTCTTTATCTGCATCAATTTCTGTAGCACTTTCAGACAGTTTTGGAGGTAGAATGTTCTAAGGAATCCAGGATCATGTGCTTACTTGCATATTGTTCATCCTGCTTCCCTAGCCCAGTTCTGCAGCGTACAGATGAGCACACTCTCCTCAGTTGATGCTGACCAAGGTAGTTATCTGCACCACACTGTAGGGTGGGTACGGCCTGGAGGCCATCTCAGGAAGTGCATTAGCTCATCATTCCTGGTGCTGCCGTGCCATTTCCAGTTCGTGAGCTGGATCAGTTTACTTCGTGGTATGGACTGAATCTTCATGTGCTGGTGGTTCCAGTCATAGCACCTGGACTGATGCGGAACTGAAGAGTAAGTGGTAGGCTTGAGGCATCATAACCGTCTTCCGCCAGCTGATGCAGGGCACAGGTTTTCTTCAGCGGTAATAATGAGACCAAAACCGCTTCGCTTCCCATAGTCTGCACTTTGCACAGCCAGGAATGACTGTGCATCCACCACAGGAAATGGGCTGTCATTCGTAGCTTTTAGTCCCGTTTCCCACCTGCCTCTCCCATCTGAATCGTTAAGTGACTGAAACCTGTACCAGGTAACCAGAGCTCCCCAAAGTTTAAAGCTGAAAAGCTGGTTTGGCACTTCTTTCTTGAAAGCCGCTGTGGTTAACATGCCACCACACTGAGCAGCGCTTCTTTCTTCACCTGGGTTGGGTGTGGAGGAGGGGGATGGAATAGGTTCAGCCAAGAGCTGCGTTCTGCCCTAACTACGTACAGGAGTCGCCGTAGCATGTGGCCCCGGGGAGCGCAGCGTGTGCCTGCATAACCAGTGTGAGACAAGTTAGTGGAAATGGAGCAGTGCTACCTGCGGGTTCCCAGTCCTCCCCAGAGGTGCAGCTGCAGTAGTGGCAGAGGTCATGAGCCCTGTGATTGTGTGCTCAAAGCAGTATAAAAGCAAACCATTCAGAATGCATCAGCTATGAAACCGGCTTTCAGGGGGAGTGCTTTCAGTACTTTTCAAGTTTTCTCTTGGTATTTTTCTGTTACTGAAGCCCAGCCCTGCTTACTGCAGAGCACAAAACCAGAGTGTTGTCTGGGAAATGAAATGTTAGTTACAGGATACTTTTGGAGAGTCGTAAATCAGGAAGACTTGTGTGTCTGTCAGCATCTGTTCCTGATTCTTCCCAAGTGCTGGGTGAAGGGAAGTGGAGACTGGGGAGTCAGGAGCACAGAGTCGGACTTAGGCTCTGCAGTAATGACTTCTCTTTCAAGAGGCACAAGTTGAATAGCAGAAAGTTTTCCACACTGACTCTGCAGTGTCTTATTTAATTTTCCTCATTTAGTTCGTCCAGAATTTACGGATACTTTAGCGATCAAGCAGGGATGGCATCCCATTCTTGAAAAGATAGCTATGGAAAAGCCCGTGTCTAACAACACATACCTGACAGAGGGCAACAATTTCGTCATTATCACAGGACCAAATATGAGTGGAAAATCAACATACCTGAAACAGATTGCACTCTGTCAAGTTATGGCACAGATCGGTGAGTAGGAGCGTACCCTGTTGGAATCCTCTGCAGCACATTTCTTGTTTTCTAGTTAAAAATATTTATGAAGTTGAATGACTTGGCTTCTAGAGTAAGATTGTCTCTAAACAGTTACAGGTGGTGCTTAGTCTGTCAGCTCCTACCAGCTCACATGTTGCTGACAGAGGCCACCATAAGGTTTTAGGTCTACCACTCGCAACTTGCGGGGCCCCATGGATGTATCTGGAAGCCTGCCCAGTCTGTCTTGAGGAGAAGCACAGCTGTGTGCTTGAATTCTTTGGCTCACCTTATGCTCGATGATAGCAAGTGTCCTTGAAGTGTGTGTTAGCCATCCAAAAGGAATAGGGGAACTCAAGTGTACCTCAGTTGTGCAGAGGAACACGCATGCAGCCAAGCAGAATTAATAGATAAATAATCAACTACTTCAAGTAAAGGTAGTAATAAATACTACAAGGTTCTGTCACTAAAATTGTACAAGTAGAACAAATATTTCTGAAGTCTGACTGAGACTCATCCTGATACACAGGAATTCTTATGATTTTTACTTTAAAGAAAGGTAAGGCTGGTGGCACAGGAGAAAGATCTGCAGAGGCTGAGCCTAGCTCCGCTAGAATGGAACTACTTAGCAGTGGAGGATGAAATCTGTGCACCGTGTGTTTGTGGGTCCAGTCCCCAACAACTGCAAGTTCATCATCAGGAATTGCATTCAAAACCAGGAGTTAATATGGGTAAAGGACACTGTAAGGTCTTTTGGCAGGTTTCCTGGGCTTTTCTGAATTCAGTAAAACTAATGAGCCTCCAGGTCTGGTAAGGGCAATACAGTCTTGGTTTTGGGAAGCTAAGATTCACTGGGACTAGTAACTCAGGGCCTACATAAATGTAAATGAATCCTAGGGTTTGCTCTCACTTTTGCATCCCTTCAGAGTAACACACAGCTTCAGACCTATGATTTCCGAAGGGTTTACTGATAGGCTTCTTTCATTGTATCTATATAACATTTGGTTACTAGAAAGTAGTTGTAGAACAAACTCTGTAGAATGAGAGATACTCTCTGCAGTGCATAAAACCCAAGTGTAGAACTCTTTTCCCCCAGTGGCATAAGCAGGCAAACTGGCATTTGTCACACTGATGTGAGAAAACTCCTATTTGACTTGTTTTGTAGGTTCTTATGTCCCAGCAGAGTATTGTTCTTTTCGAATCACAGAGCAGATTTTTACCAGAATAGGTATGGATGATGATATAGAAACAAATGCATCAACGTTCATGAAGGAGATGAAAGAGGTACTGAACGTAGGCAGTCCAGGGCCCGACGCCCCCTCCTGCTCCTCAGCTAA